TCGTGTGAATTTTATCTACTTGATAACATCTATTAAGAAATTAGATAAAAATAAGAGTAAAATGATCCATTTAAAATGGAACCATTTGAGTTGGATGAAAATCCAAGAGCCTCTACACGGGAAAATTTTATTTTCACACACTTAATGACCTCAGTGCGTATCTTCTCTTAGTACACACATTTATTAATTTTGTTATTAATTAATTTTTTCAATAGAAATAAAGACGTCCACACATTTAGAAACTAAGGACTTTAACCTACTAATAGAAATATGCCCTAAGCGACAATGCCAAAGATGAAAAAGGAAAAAAAAAAAAGAATTAGGTGCAGAAGTAGCTAATGGTATGGAGTCCGGAACAAGAAGGTGAATGAGCTCGTAGAGACGTCCATACCTACGGCTGATCCCAGGAGTCTGTCCCGTCTGAGGGTCCTGCACCAAACAACCATTAGCAGAAAATGTGACAGTTAGACCAAGCTCACATAATTGACTAATGGAGATAAGGTTTAATGTAAGAGTAGGAATATGATAAACATGTGCTAAAGACAAATGAGAGGTGGAAACAGAACCAACATGACTTACGGATATAAGAGACCCATCGACAGTATGAATAGAGGGAATATGAGCATAGGGAGAGAGGAATGAAAATAGTAAAATTGGAAGTCATATAATTATAGCATACGGAGTCAAAATACCAAGAAGATGTACCTGAAGTCACAGACAAAGTAGTAGGAGGAGGTGTACCAGATGTGGAGAAAAATTGTTTGAACAGGGCCTCAACATCAGTTTGGGAAAAAATAGGGACAGACAGATCGAGAGACTCAGAGAAAACCTTAGAGGCAGCAGTAATAGTGCGATGAGCAGGCAAAGGTCTAGACTGATTCCTGGGATGATGTGAACTACACCTGGACGAGCCACCGTGAGAGGAAGGGCCAGTAGAAGATAACCAAGAGAGATTGTGAAAACAATCCTGTTGTAGATGACCAAGACCGATTTTGTTGCAGTACTGACAGGGTCTGACTGGGCAATAAACCAGAAGATGAGTAGAAAAAAGCCCTCGATTCTAACAATAAATGCAGGCAGTGGATCGTTGGGTCGGCATGGAAGAAGTCCGTGACTGAGAAGTGGCAAGAATAGAGTCTACATGATGAGTCTGGAGAGTACCGAGATGAGTCTCCTCAGATAACAGCTCTGAAATAGCCTACTCAAGAGTGGACAGGTGAGTGCGATGAAGGAGAGATGCATGCACAGGTTCAAAATGGGTAGTGAGAGCTATGAGAAATTGAACCAACCGTTGTTGATTACGATATGTAATGAATAAAGCAACATCATCAGTGTGAGGCCAGGTAGGTTTTGAGGAAGAAAGCTGGTCCCAAACAGAATACATCTAAGAAAGAAAGTCATTAATAGACTGACCAGGGTCTTGGCACATACGGTAAAGCTGACTCTGAAGTTGATACTGATGGGCAAGACCGATAGTTTGGTATCGTTCTTTCAAAAAATCCCAAATGTCTAGAGCAGGAGTGATAACAGAGTCAAGATGAAAATGTCCAAACTGAAGACTAATAAAAGTAACAGAGGTATTTCGAAGCCAAGTAATAATTTGGTAGTTCTTACTGTCCAAATCTTCTAATCGATTTTCATACTTAACAGCAGTTTCATCGGCCTTTTTCACCAGTTTGGTCACATCTCCGATGATAGTACGCTAGAGTTTCCTACCTTTTAGGAAGGAAGGCATGGCTTGGGCCCACAGAACAAAATTGGAGCCATTAAGAATAACATAAATTGGATGGGAGTCATCATGACGATCTATAATAATATTGTGGTAGGACTAAATAAATAGAAATAGTACTGTAGAAACAAAATTAGGTAAAATAGTGTGTACCAGTGAGTTCGGAAGATCGAAAATAGCCGAGAAAGGGGCGAAATCACCAAAAAATAGGCAAAATAAAGAAAAGGGCCAGAGATGACATCAAGAGGGGGTGGGTGACGTCAGCAGAAGGCATGGTGCATGTTAGCAGAATGGAAGTGCGATGTAAGATAGCAGAGAGAGCGCGTGACGCACAGTAGTAGGACGGTGCACGGAGGGCGCAAGAAAGGCTGACGTCAAGCTGACGTGAGTGACAACTGAAAGGCGCGTAAGGGTGCATGTGAGAGTGGCGATGGAAGACTTGGACGCGCCGATGATAAAAACAACGAGTGTGGTGTTTGGCGACGGGCCTGGTGGGGTTGGAACCAGGAGAGAATTTCGAGCATGAAGATAAAAAAAAATTTGTAAAATTTTGGTCAATAACGATGACGAAGTAGTGTTGTTGAGCAAAGAATGGTGTAATCTGGAACCTTGTGCTCTTTGCTTTGATAAGGCCATTGTGTACGGGCAATAAGTAAGAGAAAAATGAAGCTGGGATTTAAGACATGCGCTTCACGTTATAATGGTTGAGAGAAAATGAGAAAAAGTTGTGTATTTTATAGCTATTGAATTGAATAACATACAATATGAGAAGCCTTTATATGTAGGCTAAAAAGAAACCTAGATAAGTATAGAAATGCAAGGAGATAGAGATAGAGATACAAGGAGATAAGATGAGATATATCTAATACAGATAGATAAGTATAAAGCTAATATATATTAACTTTAACACACATATTGAAAGTTATAAGTATACCCTTCACTCATAATCATTGTACACACACCACTCAACTCTTATTTCCATACACTTGTTGAGTGACCCTGCTTCCAAATTTGTAGACCTATTGTAGACTTACATGAAGACCATTTAAGACCACAGTATGAAGTAAAGGCAAAGTCTTCTATTGAAGACCTCCATTAAAGACCCTATTGAACCTCTATTAAAAACACCATTGAAAATCCTTCAAAATATTGTTGAAGATATGATATTTTTCCATTTTTTTCATTGCATATGCCATTTCTAGATTTCAGTGCACTCCATTGTCAAAAAGCCCTCGTTTTTTTAAAAAAAAAATTATTTTTATTTTTTATGTTTTTCAGTTTGGGGATTTCGGCACTGGTTTTTTGAAATTATACATTTAATTCAAAACTTAACTTCCGAATAAAAGTGATTAGTTTGGCAAATTTCTTCCCAAAAAAAATAAAAATAAAAATAAAAACTTTCAGCAGTTGATGTCCGAATATAATGAAATAATTCGACAGTTGATGTCTAAATATAATGAAATAATTTGGCACTGGTTGTCCGACTGAAAACCGCAAAAGGAACCCAAAAAAAAAAAAGTTCTGCACGAAAAAACTAACATTTTCATATCACTAATAGAGTATAAATCTAAAGATTGAAGTAACATGAGAGTTGTTATGAGAGTATTGCTTTACAAGCAATAGAGGAGTATAGAATGTGTATCAAGCAAAATAACAACAATGGAAAAATTAGATTTAGTTTTTTTTTTTTTTAACTCAAAAAGAGACTAAAGAATATATGAGAGTTATTATGAAAGTATTGTTTTGCAAGCAATAGAGGAGTATAGAGCGTGTAGCAAGCAAAATGACGACAATGAAAAATTTTGGTTTAGTTTTTTTTAACTCAAAAAGATATTAAAGCAATATGAGAGTTGTTATGAGAGTATTGCTTTGCAAGCAATAGAGGAGTATAGACAAAATGACAACAATGGAAAAATTAAATTAAAATTTTCTTTTACTCAAAAGGTGTACATTGAGATTTTTTTATTTTTATTTTTATTTTTTTTTTGGTTTTTAAAAGATGTGTACAAAGAATATTTTCATATAATATTATGCGTGCTAGTGGATGTCCATTATGGTCATTTTAGTTTAGGGTATAATTGTCATTAAAATAATATTTCATTAAGTGTGTGCATTGAGATAATTAGGTGTGTAGAAATAGAATTTCCCCCTTTACACAACAAAATTATCTCTTTGCCCTCCTTATTTTGATTTGATTTGATTTTATTACAATTCTATCCCTAAACAAAATTACCAAAAAGTACTAAAGCCTAAAAAAATAAACCCCAATTTGAGGTGATTGGGGGTCAGCAAAGTTGTTGGTCAAGGAAGTTAGGGTTGCGGGGGCTGGTCATGGGTTGGGTAAGCTATCAGAGTTGGTTGGCAACGGAGTAGAGGTGGTGGGTATTGAGTTACAGTTTGGAATATTAAGTGTGTAAAGAAAGGATAAGAAGTTGGAGATGGGAATAATTTTGGAATTAAAGAGAGTGTAATGAGATAAAGTGTAAAAACCCTAATTTGGAAGAGGGTGTAATTAGGAAAAGGGTGTAAGCAAATTGTGTGTGTGTGTGTGTTGTAAATAGAAGCTCCTTGAAAATATTTCAATTACTTTGGGAAGAGTGAGTGAGTGAGTGAGTGAATGAATTATTTTGTCTCTTAATTTTAGTCTAATTTCTTAAAAGTATTATCAATTAGACAAAATTGACAAAATATGAAATTTTCAAAACTAAAATTGATTCAATTAAATTATAAAGATCAAATTAATTGAAGAATTAAATTATATGGACTAGTAGTGCAATTTACTCCTTTTTTATTTTCCATTAATGACTTGTGGAAGTATAAATCTATTCCATTACTCCTTTTGTTTTTTTGTCTCTTTACTTTTCTACCTAGGTACATCCAATGACTTGCAAAATAAAATGTGTGCTTTATCAAAATCATGCGAAATTGTTAATCAGTTTTGTCAATTATTAAACTATTCATAAATTTACATATATAAATGTAAACACATTATGTTTGCATCTACCATTAGTGTGTGCATATATATATTAATCTTTCTTATTAGTTGTTTTTTTAGTATGCTATTTTAGATATTTCACACCAAAAGACAATTCTACCGTCCAATAGTTCCGACATATATCTAGGCAGAATCAATTGCTCCATCACATGTCCAATACATTCTCTAGCGACAATCAAATCAAACGAATCCTCATTGTCCGAGGTGTGCCCAGAGTACTTCCAATGGATCCACCAAGACCTAAATCCATGGAAGGAAAATGGAATTACCAAAGAAATGGTAGACAGTGCTGAGAGCAAAGCATACACAAGAATAGTAATAGTGAATGGAAGAGTATATTGGAAGATGTTGAAGTTGGCGTTCCAAACAAGAGATGTGTTCAGTATTTGGGGCATATTGCAGTTGTTGAGGTTGTACCCTGGAAAGTTACCAGATTTGGATATCATGTTTGAGTATGGTGACATGCCAGTGATTCAAAAGAGAGACTATGGCGGATCATATGACAACAATGTGACTCCAATGTTTCACTACTGTGGGAGTGATTCAACCTTGGATATAGTTTTTCCTGATTGGTCCTTTTGGGGCTGGTAAAGATTCTCTTTTACTATTTATTTATTTATATTTTAAGTAGAAGTATACGTTCTGTAAAGGATGTGTACCATACTACATGCATCTTATTACGTATTGCTCTAGTACATGTTAGTAACTTTCTAGTAGACTTACAATATTTCGTGATTCAGAAATAAAATCACATATTATACAGTTTTTCATCGAAACATTGTTTAATCACAAAATGTACAATATTATTACAAAAAATACATAATTTTATTTATGAATTACAAATTATCGTAACTCAATTAGAAAAATTACGTAATATTTAATAAAAAAAATGCATAACATGTGCTATAAATGCAATGCATGTATGTTGGATCTACTATCTCACCTGTCCAACGAATTGTTTTTGAGAGACTTGCGGGCCGAATTTTAAATTCTTAACATCTTTTTGAAAATAATTTTTTTGAATTTATAATATTGTTATTTATATAAACAGATGCATTTAAAGAGAAATTTCATGATACACATTCTAAAACGAGATGCGTGATATATGTTGTAGTTACAACGTTTATGATATTTGGTTATGATTTATTGTGATATTAGTTATGACTTGGTTATGACTTATTATTGTGTTAGTTATGACTAATTATAATATTAGTTATGACATATTGTAATTATTATTTTAGTTATGATCCAAAAAAAAAAAAATGGTTATACCTTAGTGTTTGGTTATGACTCATTATTATTATTTTTAGTTATAATTGAAAATAATTTAGTCGTAACATTTGTGGTAATTAACACTACAAATATCATGGCTTACATATGGTGGAGGATATGTACCACAAAATGACCCACATCTTAAATGGTAGAGTATTGCAGTAACAAATTTTAAATACTTTTGTAGTAAGTCAGGGAATTTAGAATTGGAACCTAATTTGTGTTCAGAATTTGGGTGTAGGGTGAAAATTGGATAAGAGTTCCATGTATAGGATGAATTTGAACAGCATATTGATATTTTTAAATAAGATTTCTGAGCTTGTAATCTAGATATTTTTGGTGTATGGCAGGCCAGAGCTCCAGATAAAGCCATGGGAAGCCCTTATTAAGGATCTAGAAGAAGGCAACCAGAGAGTGAAGTGGATTGATAGAATACCCTATGCTTATTGGAAAGGGAACCCAAGAGTTAGTTTAGTCAGAAAAGAGCTTCTCAAATGCAATCTCACTGACCAACAGGATTGGGGTGCAGTCGTTTATGGCCTGGTAACAATTTCATCCCTTTCTTGTTACAGTAATAATTCAAAATAAATAACTAAATAAATAAATAAAAACTACACGAACAATTTTTTTTGTAGCAGCTAATGGCTATGTTTGCTGCAGCTTAAACAAGTTGATTATAACTTATTTAAATTAAAAAAATTGTAACAAACTGTTTGATATAATTTTTATTTACAGTTTATTAAGTAGAAATAGCTTAAATAATATAACAAAAGCTGATTATCTGAAAGTTAGAAAATTGGTACTTTTAATTTCTACTTTATAATTATTAACTATTAACTTACAGTAAGTTGCACGAAACAATGCCAATGTAGGTTGTAGTAACAAAATTTTGATATTTGAAATGTGCCCATCAAAATTAATATATATATATATATATATTATTTGTATAGTATTACTTTAGTTGAAACCCACATAACAAATTAAAGAATAATTACAAATATAAGAATTATTATATCAAACAACCATGAACCTAACAATAGTTAGAAAATCAACCATTATTAAGCCCAACAATCAATCACCAAACCTAAGCCCAAGGCCCACAACTGCAACTAGTTACATAGAACTTTCATAATAGGGGGATAAATAAACATCACAAATATCAAACTCTTCTTCATAAGAGTCGAATTCATAACCACACACACTATAAAATAGTGTTAGATAACCACTAGGCCAAAGACTCTGATTCAAGAGTCACATAATTATGGCAAACATGAAAACAGATTTGGTAGAGGTGGGCATGAGCCTGTTGACTTGGCCATTCTAATGCATTTATTAGGATCAAGTTGAAATGACTTTTGAAGCCTGAAAAATTTATAAATCTCCTAGATATTGATTTGTGATTATATATCAATTTTAAACAGTAAATAACAATCACAATCAAACAATCAAGACAAATCGACACAACGATTTAACGTGAAAAAATCACAATTGGAATGCCTCAAATTGTGATAAAAAAATCACAGGCAAAAGTCACAAAACAATCCATTAAGAAGATAAAAAGAATTACACAAGTGTACTCTTAGTTACCTAGCGAATCTATGCCCGAATTGAACCGACTCTTATATGCCTCTTCTATCACGGTCTTTACCTCAAAATTGTCTTACCCAACGTTCAATCCACAACATCGATGTCGAATCCACGACGATGAGCCACTCTAGAAACCACCAAAGCTTCAGGTCCAAATTCTACGGAATCCACCGAAGAACAACTCTTTCTTTTTTTAATAAACCAAACTAAACAAATCTTTTGATATAACCTCCTCAATTCATGTTAAACTCTCACAAATATCAAAGGAAACAAGCAAAGAAACTCCAGATAAAAACCCTAATACCCAAGGAGAAGATCTAGAAGCTGTACCCTAAAATCGGACTGAAACACATATTTATAGCAAACAGATCTGCGATCTCTGCTCAAGCGCAAGAATGGCCGCTCGAGCAGAAAAAAAGAACTCCCAGTACTTTTGCAAGCGAGTGAAACTTTTGAAAGGTCGCGATATCTGCTCAAGCGCAAGAATGATCGCTCGAGCAAAAAAACAACTTCGACTGCAATTTTGCCGCTCGACAGCGAAATGGAAAACATGAAAGAATTAACTTCACAAATTTCTCTATGAGGCACAATTTAGGTTGGATTCGCATCTAAAACTCATAGCCTCACTGAAATAAAAGAAAGAATAAAATTACAACTGAAAAGAGTTTTGTCAAACGGAATTGCCAAAGAATAAAAAACTAACAAAGTTTGTTTATTAAATGAGCTGAGTTTGAGAATGTTACTTTTAATCCAGTCTAATTTGACCCAATTATTAATATATTATATGAAATTTATATATTATGTACATGCATATATGTATTGGTATATATACATATATAATTTACTTAGTTTTATTTATTTATTTTTAAAAGCACTTATTATGTTATTATGAGGCTTTTCTCTATCTTTAGACTTTCTCCAAGAGTAAAATATAAGGTCAAACTCAATCTAATTTTTTAACTTCAAATGCCATGAGATGCAAAATGAATGGATTTCAAACTTTAAATAAAAGCCTCAACACATCACCAAAAAACTCAGCTCGAAAAAAACATTACCAAAAAACTAAAAATAAATAAACTATGCTTTAGCAAACATTGGGGCAGCTAAACCAATCCAAACCAAATCAAACCAAATCAAATCTTAAGTCGTGTCAAATGGAGTCGGTTACGTGAATCTTTCTTGTCCATTCGACTTTATCTAATGCTATTTCGTTAGTCAAACTAAGGAAGTTCATATTTCTATTTATTACACTAATCTATGTCAATCTAGATTTGTCCCTTCTCCTAACACTTCTATCTACGGTCACTATATCGCATCTACTGTCAGCTACTTTACATAAATAATTTTAGGTGATATTTCTATAGAAAATATTGAAACCCCAAATATAATACTTTTCTCCTTTTGAGTAACATTCTCTCTGTTTTTTATATTTTATTTTTGGTGGTCTCAATTTTGTTGTATAAATACAAATGCTGATAGTAAGTTGTAATTTTGTAGGATTGGAGATTTGCTCATCAACAGAGGTATAAAAATACAGATTTAGTAGACCAATGTACTCATAGGTGGGTAACCAAATTCTTATTTCTTTCAACACACTCGTGCCCTAAACTCTGAGTTGTTTTGGAGGATAAGATATTTTCTTATTTAGCGCATGTCGTACCGTGAGTTATATCTGCACAATGTAACTTTATTTTCTTAGGGTAAATTTGTTTAAAAATGTGAACAATACACACCACCTCATTGGTTTGTTTTGTACTTTTGGTAGGATCACCTCATAGGTTCAATCAATGAGATGGTGTGTATTGTTTATTTTGTGAACAAATTTACTCTCTGCATGACATAGACGGAGTTTGGCCATAGCAGAGCTATAGTTTGGTGTTAGGTATTTTGTAATTGGTAATCCCGTTTGACAAAACTTCATTCAAATGTAATTGCATTTCGCCTTTTGTATCTTCAAGTTTTTTAGAGTTTAGATGCAAATCCAACATAATTTGTGCCAGAATAGAGGAGTTTATGCTAAAGGAAATGTGTGTTTGAGCAGAGGAATTGTCGAGCCTGTCGAACTTCTTGAACCACTCGAGTGGTCAAGTGTGCGCCCAAACACTAATTTGGTTCATCCAGTGTCTCAATATAATTTCAGAGATACTGAGAGTTGTGTTTTACCCTTTGAGCGGTAAGTTTTGCGCTCGAGCAGAGTGACATGTGGAAGATTGTTTGCACTGCCTTACTAGTTTCACCCTTGAACAATCATTTTTGCGCTCAAGCGGTCTTCGGGACCCTATTTGTTATAAAGTTCTTGTTTGCTCGTTTTAGAGTTGAACCCTTCCAGAATTCTTAGAGAGGATAGAAGCAAAAGTGTTTTGTATTGGAGGATACATATATATATATATATATATTTTTTTTACCTTAATGATTTAAGGGTGATCGATGGATCAACGAATTTCATATTGACATTCATCAAGGGATTTCTTTCGTTTAATTCAAATTCAAAAGAGAGGTGTTCATCAATGGATTATGGGGAATTTGACCCTAAAGCTTTGGTGAATTCCGGAGTGGCTCATCATCGTGGATTCGACATCGGCGTCGTGGATTCAACGTTGGGTACAACAATTCCGGGGTGAAGACGATGGTGGAAGAGGCACATCGGGTTTGGTTCAATTTGGGCGTAAATTTGCTAGGTAATTAAGGGTTTTAGTGTGTAATTCCTTTATCTTCTTAGTGGATTGTTTTGTGACTTTGACTCCGTGATTTTTTATCACAATTGGAGGTGTTCCATTTGTGGTTTTTTTCACGTTATATCACTGTATCAATTTTGAAAGTCCTACGTGATTTGTGATTAGATCAAGATTAACTAATTCCAAAACCCAATAAATTCAAAACACTCAACCTAAAATCATCAAACACTTACGAGAGTGATTTTAGTTTGTTTGTTTTTGAGAATAAACAATAAATCAACACAAACGATTTTTTACGTGGAAAAAACCACAATTGAAGAACCTTCAATTGTAATCAAAAACCACGGGCGAACCGCCACTATCAATCCACTACTGAAGAACGAAAAGATTACAAAGAAATCATACAAATTACCCAACCCTAGTCAATTTGTCTCTGAATCTTCTGTAACTCTTTTCACCACACCTTCGTCACGGAATTGATCCTGAAGTTGATTCCACACCACAACTTCACTCGTCGAATTAACGACTGCGTAGACTCAAACACCTTTTGGATCCTACGCTTTGATCTTCGGAATCCACCGAAGAGAACTCACTTGAAACTTAAGAAACAACCACCTTGATGTATGAATCTCAATGCATAAGTTCAGAACTCTCTTAAGAACATCAAGGAAAAACTATCAAAAATCTCCAAAGAAGACTTTAAACACAACCCTAGTTTGTTTTGATCAGATCTAGGAAAACGTTACCCAAACAAAACAACGTTAGCAGCTTTAAATAGGAATCTGAATCGCGATCTCCGCTCGAGCTCAACATAGCCCGCTCGAGCGGACTGAACAAAAACTGCATACGAAGAAACAGAGATGCGCTCGAGCGTAGGAGAATCCGCTCGAGCGTAAAATCACACCCACCAGTAGTTTTGCTTGTCCTGACAAAATACTGAGACCTGCTAATCTACGCTCGAGCTCAAGAGTCTCCGCTCGAGCGGACAGTACAAAAACACAAAAAAAATACTTTTGAATCAACACAAGGTTTTGTCTCCGGATTTGACAACACAGGGACCTAACAAATAAAATGAAAGTATGGGAATAGAACGTTTATGTAGGTGTAGGGATGAAGTATTTTTTAAAATATATATATATATATATATATATATAATTGGACAATTAAATGAGAGAAGTTGTAAGTGTAGAGTAATATAATGTGACGGAACAAAACGTGGATAGTTAAACAGTGGAGTGTAATTTTTTTTTTTTTTTAACGAACGTCTGGTAGTTTGTTAGACTAATTTCTTGATATATACAGTCTCTTATCTTACATATATCATATAATTATTAGGCCAACATCCAATGAAAACTTAAAGGATAATAAGGAATAAAATACATCTTTTATGAAAGCCATAGCCTTCGACTAACTAAAACAACCTAATTGAGTGTGAATTTGTTCACATAGTGTAAACAAAATATTACGTGAATCATTTGCATTGTT